CTGATACCAAGGGCTCAAGTAGAAAGAAAATGTTTTGAGAATGATGAGGGCAACAAATGTACAAATGTGTTTGACGCAATGGAAGGATGTATGGATAGTGATAAGAGTTGTACAAGCCCCCAATAAAATGCTTGAAAAAATGAAAAGAAACATTCCTTGAAGGTTACCACGATTAGGAGGACGAATCACTAACTAGAGGTAGACACATAATAGTTTGTGTGAAGGGGAAGGTAATATATAAGAAGAAAGAAGCAGCAAAAATCATGATGGTAAAGACAGACACCTGAAGGAGTACATGAATTAAAGGCAACAGACGCAAATAGCATCTTATGTATATAATCCTATACTAACAATAATCTATGACTAAGTACATAGACATAAAAACCAAACAGGTGTGGGAAGGAAAACAAGAATAAATATTTAGGTTTGACAGAAGATAGTTCTACTAAGATATGTGTTTATCTATGCTGCAAACATATCCATGAATATAGTAGAGTTTATAAGCGGAAAAGTGATGAACACCTCTTAGCTCTCTATAATCAAACACCTTGAGGGAATAAGTCTTGGACTAGGGATATGGAACCACAGTCTTGGAGGAACAACAAAGTCATTTGGTATAACACAAAGAGAATATTCTCCATCGTTCTTTAGTGAGTATCGACCTGTATACCAGAGATTCATGGAAAAAACTAGTCCAATGAACTGATAGACCCCGCAAACCTCAGTCTGCAGGACCCTGAGACCAGAGCTAGATGATGCCTGGCTACCCCTGCTGTGTTGAAATGAATCACATTAAAAGGTCGTGAGAAGAAAGAAAAATTCGCAAAACTCAAAATCATATAAAAGACTAGGTTTACTGGTTGCATAGAGACTGGTGGAGCCCCTGAACCTATGGCCCTTAATTATTCTTCAGGCCTGGAATTGATCTCATACCTGTGGCTCAATTTTCAGTCAAACAATAGACAGGTGTATAAGGTGAACAATCACACTTAGGAGGTACACACTCATAATAATAATCAACTATTTGAGACCAAGGAGCTCTGGTGGCATAGTGATTACAAATTAGGCTGTGAATTGCAAGGTTAGTAGTTCCAAACCACCAGCTGCACCAAGAGAGAAAGACAGGGGTTCATACTCCCAAAGCAGTACGGCCCTGGACATTCATAGGAGCAGGCCTACCTGTCCTATAGGCTCCCTATGAGTCAGCATCAATTCGATCGTAGTAAGTTTGGAGATAAAAAAGACATTGTCCCAAGGACAAAGTTCAGAAGGCAGAAAAAGTTAGGAAAGGAGGAATGGAAACAGGAAATAGGGAGGAAGTGTGTTAAATGATGCTATAGTTTGGGGATTGCAGTCAATGATATGAACACCCTAAGTTGTTGGATAGAAAACCAATCTGCTCTGTAAACTATCATTCAATTCACAATAAAAAAATTAAAAAAATAAAGATCATTGCAAGGAAAAAATGAAAGTAGAAAGGCCTAAGAGTGTACTTAGTTTCAAATAGCAGAATTAAGTTGAAGAATGGTTCCAAGTCAAGGTTATATCTCCTCAGTTCATCCATCAGTGTCTTATGCGGTTCTTTAACAGCATCAACACAAAAATAAGGGACCCCTGGTAAATGTGACCATCTCAAAGATAGTTTTTTGGGACCCAGACTTTCCTTTTTCTATAATCTGCAAAAATATGCTTTATATATCCCAAATTAATTCACTCATTGATTTATTCAATCTTCTTTGTCTTTTTATTTTTAACTTCCAGAATATGTACTATAAGCCAGGACCTATCTGATAGCTACTATACAAGAGGAATAAGACAAACCTTAGCCTTGAGAGTCTCAATCTAGGAGGGATGTAAGATAGATACTAATGAAGGTGGGCTACAGAGGAGAAAGAAATGCTCAGTTCTATTGTGGGGAGGCATTGGAAAGGACAGAGAAGGTTTTTGTAGAGAAGAAAACACTTGGGTAGTTTTTAAGATAGGCACTCCAGAGAGAGAGAGAGAGGGAGGGAGAGAGAGAGAGAGGGAGAG